ACACACACACACACACACACACACACACACACACACACACACACACACAGAACTTCTTCCTCCAACCCCCATCAGCTGCAGAGCCGCTTGGGTTCAGCTTGCCCACCCTGAAGCTTTGGGCTCATTCGAAGCAGAACTGAGGAACTGGCCAGGATCCAGCAGGCAACAAGCCTGAATTCCTCAGCACGGCAGCTCAGGGATTGTCCTCCTCCGTCCCATGGCTGAGTCTCCAGGTGGGGCAGCCACAAGGTCCTCTGGCCCACCGGAAGTTTCCAGGGACTTTTTCATTCCTCCCCACATGAAAGAGGGAAAAGGGATAAGAAGAATCTCTGGATGTCATTATTTCTGGAAGCCCCTCAGTCGCCTCTTTTAGCTGCTCCTGGGAAACAGCCAACCACCCTTGCTTGATTCTCTAAAAATTCGCTGGTTCAGTTCCCCCGAGCAATGAAGCATCTATAACCAACAATGCCTTTTCTTTGTTAAGGAACCCTGAATTTTTTTCCTCTCCTTGATATATTTGGTGTTGTCCCTTCTCCAAGTTCTTGCACGCTGTCTTCCAAGGGGAGGTTTTTGCCGACAGGAGCCCAAATCTTCCCCATGTTTGAGAGACTTTCTCCTACCACACAGAGATTCTTACTTCATATCAGCCTTTTTATTTTTGTTCATTTTCTATGTTCCTTAATCATATATTCAACATATTTACATTTTAATCTATTGATATCATTTCATTTATGATTCAAAGTTTCACCTTAATTTATAGCTGTCCCAATACATTTTCCATCTTATTTTCTTTTAGCCAATATTGTCAAATTTAAAGCAATATATCCTCATTACCTTATACAAATATAACAGATATAACAGAATATTTAATTCATTAATTCATTAAAAATTTCTCTATCTTCCTTGATCATATTTTCAACATGTTTACACTTCTCATTTTTAGACAAATACATTTTCCATCTTATTATCTTTTAGCCAATATTGTCAAACTTATTGCAATATATCTTCATTACTTTATAGAAGTAGATAAAATATTTCATGAAAGATACAAATCAGTCTTGGTTCTTCTTCTTCTTCTCCTCCTCCTCCTCCTCCTCCTCCTTCTCCTTTTTCTATTGTTACCATGTCCAGTTTTTCCTCCATATTCTATATATTCAATTCCCAATTCTGGAAATTCTCCTGGACTCCCAAAGAGCTGGTGGCAGTTATGGCTAGGAGAGGGTCTGTAGGTCTTTGGGTTAGTTGGCCACTTTGGCAAATAAATTTAATAAATAACTAAATGTACTAAACAAACAAACAAATGTGGTATTATACCTGATTAAAAGTGTGGTTCCATTTTCTATGAGACGCCAAGAATCCTCCGAATCCAGCTGTGTTTGTCCTCCCCGTCTTCTGCGTTATTTCTTTCCATCTCCACCACATCTGGCAGAAAGTTCCTTCCATCTCTGGGCGTTTCTCGCGTTTATCCCTGTCGGATTTGCCTATTTGAGGAATTCTTCCTTTTTGGAGACTGCAACTGATCCCAATCAGGAAGGATTTCACTTTTTTCCCTCTTTCAGGATCCCTTTTAATTTCTTGCTACAATTTACTTTGGAAGATGACTCAAAACGCAGAATATTTTCAGGAGTGAAAAGGGATCCTGGCCTGAACTAACCAACTTGGTTGGGAACTATGATTCTTTGTTCTTTGTGTACGTGCTAGGACAACGGAGCCTTCTGGTAGTTGGCTGGAACTACAAGGGCACCACAACTGGTGACCCCGACGTGATCCACTCAAAAGAGATACGTCTTTGGCACACCCATTCTCATTGTCTGGAATAGACTTGGTGCACCTCATCCGCTTGAATCGCTGGCGACAACGGATCCCTTGTGAGTATGGGTGGTAGATTCTTTAAGGAGCAGGCAGCTCACATTCAGGAAATCAGAGAATTGACCTTTAAAAAGGGGGCTCCCTTCATGCCCCCCTCCCAAAAACCTCTATTGAGGAACTCCTAGAATACATTTGGCAACACTGCCCTTCTTATCCAGCTAAAGGCAGTATCAAAACTACAGTATGGAAGGAGATTGGAAAATACCTTCACGCAAGTCCTAGGGCCCCTTCGTCTATATTAATTGCTTGGAGGGTGGTTTTTGAGGCTCTCTCCTCTCTAGAGCAACCCCTACTTGGCCCCCTTTCTGGACCCCCTCCCTATGTGAATCCTGCTGTACAACTCTTGCCCCCTGCTGTGGCACCTGTGTCTCTTAAACCGACTGCCCCCCCTGGAGGCAAATGAGGTTGGTGAACTTCCCCCCCTTCTCCTGACCCCCCCCTTACCCAATCCCTCTTCTTCTTCTCTTGTTCTCCCTTCTGTGCCTTCCTCTCCTGCCTTACCCCCTCCTATGGGCGCGGTTCATGCTGCCATCGCTGCAGGAGTTAGAACTGGTGAGTTAGATCACTCTGACTGCCCATCAGCATTCCCGTTAGTTTATGCGCAGAACGCGCAGGGACAAAATGTCCCGCACTGGGAACCCATCCCTGTTAAATCAATCAAGGATATCAAACAAGCTGTACAAATGTACGGTATTCAGGCTCCATTTACGATGGGATTATTTAGAATGATGGCTAACGCCCATATAATGATCCCAGATGATTGGCATAGCCTTTTTCATATGACTCTAACAGGGACTCAATTTGTTGTATGGCAATCGGAGTTTCTCCATCATTGTCGCCTATTGGCAGCTCAAAATCCGAATCTTACTGCAAATGAACTGGCAGGAGAGGGTGCCTTTGCTGCTCCCGCAGCTCAATATAATAGCCCTATTAATGCTCTTAACCTTTCTGCACAAGCCGCTCTGCTTGCTCTCTCTCGCTTGGATGACCCTCATACCTCCGCACAATCTTTTGCAAAAATTCTACAAAATTCCAATGAACCCTATGCCAATTTTATTGAACGCCTCCAAACGGCCCTACAAAGACAAATTACAAATGAGGCAGCTCGGCAGGAAATTCTTCTTAAATTGGCATATGAGAATGCTAATGCAGACTGTAAAACCTTGCTTACTCCCTTGATTAATTCTCCAGATGCCACTCTAGCCCAATTCCTACAAGCCTGCAGGTGGTGGGAACACACCAATACGCTTCCAAAATGATGGCTGCAGCTATCACCACAGGTAATAAGCCATCTGGTAATTGTTACAATTGTGGGGAGCCTGGCCATTTTAAATCACAATGTCGAGACCCCGGCGGGGGGGCAGCAAAGCCCTCCGCCAGTAGAGATGTTCGACCAAAACAGTCTGCCCGAAATGTAAGAAAGGCTATCATTGGGCTAATCGATGTCAATCAAAAACTGAACCCTCGGGAAATGAGTAGAGGGGCCGGCAGCTAGCCCCTCTCCCAAGGCTGCCCATATACCATCCGCTGTGTATGAATTATCAGTGGCAGAAGATGTGCTCATATCCTTTCCCCATCTACCACTCTCTGTCAGCGCACAGCTTCCTCCTTCTCCTCCGATAAAACTGCTCTTATACAATCTCACCCTCATGCCCTCCTCAAAGGAATCCCTGTGGTTCCCGATCTGCTTTATCCTTCCTCAAAACTCTCAGCCATTAACCTTTCTGTGCTATCCACTCTTCCAACGAAGTTACAAAAGGGTGATGTCATAGCAAAAATGATCATGGTACCGCAACTTCCCTCTGATGTGCTTGCCCTCACTAGATCTATCACCGAAACTAAGCCCACACTCTTGGCTTTAATCAAGGGTCGCCGCTTCACCGGTCTTCTGGACTCTGGTGCTGACGTCTCGGTGATACGCTCTGATGAGTGGCCTACAGACTCGGAAACAGAGACCTCCCCATCGGTAAGAGGTGTAGGAGGGATTCAAACGGCTCGCATCAGTAAGTTTTGGCTCCCTGTGACTTCTGAAAACCTCACAGGGACTGCACAAATAAAGCCCGTCATCCTCCCCCTTCACACGAATTTGTGGGGGAGGGACTTGCTCTCTCAATTTGGTGCTAAATTGCAGGTAGAATGACTCACCCTCTTCCCCTTCGCTTGACCTTAACCACGGACATTCCTGTTTGGGTTGATCAATGGCCATTGCCAGCAAATAAATTGCTTGCATTACAGCAATTAACAGCCGCATCCGCTGCTACTATTCTATCCGCTTTCTCTCTTTCTCCCCTAACCCCTTGGGACAGTCATAACTATTTTCATCAAAATAAAAGGGCTCTTATGAAGGAATTCCAAATCACCACCCAAGAGGCTGCTGTGATTATTCAACAATGCCCTACTTGCAGCAAGCAAGCCCCTGTCCTGCCAATGGGAGTAAATCCCAGAGGCTTAAAAGCCTGCCAAATTTGGCAAATGGATGTAACCCAGTATGCGCCTTTTGCACCATGGAAATATATCCATGTTTCAGTGGACACATACTCAGGGTTCATCATGGCCTCCCCGCAAAGAGGAGATACCACAAAACATGTCATTAACCACTGCATCCAGTCATTTGCGTGCCTGGGAAAGCCCTTGGAATTAAAAACTGATAATGGCCCCGCCTATACTAGTACCAACTTTGCTACCTTTTGTAAACCATGGGGCATTTTGCACAAATTTGGCATTCCATACAATTCTCAAGGGCAGGCCATAGTAGAAAGAGCCAATCTGACCCTAAAGAATGCTCTTGACAAAGTTCACAACTCAATGGGGAAACTCACCCCAGGGCTACCCACGCTGCAAAACAAGCTTAACTTGTGCTTATTTACACTGAATTTCCTGAATGAGTCTGGCACACCTGCTTCTTCTGCTGCCTCTCGACACTTTTGCTCTCCATCCAAGGATGCTCCTAGACCTCCAGTCTACTTTCGACAGTTGCCAGATCCCACATGTTGCCAGATCCCACATCCAGTTGCCAGATCCCACATCCCCTTATAACCTGGGGGTGAGGGTAACGACGCTGCAGGAGTTACCTGCGGCTCATACAGCTGGCAGAAATCTTATCTACAGGAAAAGAAATATCTCTTTCAAAAGGTGTCCGGGACTAACGTGGGGGCCACCACTGTTTACAACTACTGGTACACCCCGCCTATTGACTCTGCTCAAGTAAGAGGCCCTCAAAATATTAATATCACTGTTAAATCAAGCTCTACTTCATGTACCACTGAAAAATGTAATCCCATTTGCTTGTACACTCACTTACCTGAATCTAAGTGGGTACAATATCGTTTTTTAGGTCTTGATTTTAGAGACATGTTTGGATCCTGGTTCCCAAAATTGCCTGGTTTACAAGCTATTGTAGCGCTCATTGGTATGATTGCTGCGGGATGTGTTGTATTGCCTTGTGTATTACCCATCTTTGTATGCACTATTTCTAACAGTTTATCCCTCTTGGCTGAGAAAAAAGCCACTGCGCAGGTAATGGCTCTCTGGAATCAACAAATAACTAACACATATGAACCACTGCCATCCGAAGATGAGATAGGGGAGCCAACCTGTGACGACCCAGACGAGGACAAGATGTTTGTGATGGTTGAAGAAGTCACAAACGCCGTGGATAACATCAGCACACACAGCACTCTTGCCTACAGGCCTGACAAAGACTGTTGTTGGGACTAAAACACTCCCTGTCTCTTAAAAAGGAAAAACAGGGGAGATGTGGGAACTATGATTCTTTGTTCTTTGTGTACGTGCTAGGACAACGGAGCCTTCTAGTAGTTGGCTGGAACACGGAGCAAGGAGCAAGGACAAATTGTTGCCATTTCTTAACCAGAACTGTAGCAAACTTAAACTCTGCAGCATTGTATGCTTTATGCGAATGATCAGTGCATGTTGTGTGATGTAATGCGTTTGTGATAGGACGTTAACAAAATTGCTACGTTAACAAAGATTGCTTCTAATAAAAGAGGGTTTCGGAGTTCTCTCTGCGCTCTCATCCCAAGACAACTTTGCGAAGTGTCTTCTTTTCATGAGAGACCACCACATGACTCTCTTCCCTTTCCCACAAGCTTCAAAGCCAAGCCATAGATATTTAATTGTTGATAGAAATCCAGAAGAACACCTGTAATAATATTCTACTGTGCTCTTCCCCCTATTTTATCAAATTAGAATGTCCTTGAGAAGAAGTCTTTCACAGTTCTCTCCACTTCAAGTAAGATATTTTCAAGCCTCTAGTTGGCAGTGTTGCAAAGTTTCTTAGTTCTCACTTTCCCCCCTCCTCTCAGAAAAGCGTAATTGAAGTAAAAAAAAAGAACAAGAAATATATACATATATATACAAAGAGAGAAATAACCAAAGGGAGCCTCTAGCCTAGAAAAAAAAAAGTTTAAAAAATCCAAAGGGAGAGTTTTATATATATAAATAAAAACAAACAACCAGTCCGGTTATCTACTAAGTAACAATGAAGTCCAGTAGCAAAAAAATAAAAAAATAAAAATAAAGCCTCGCTTTGACGTCTCCCTTAAAAAAACGCCGCTTATTCAGTTTTGTCAAAAATCACACAGATTTCTTCTAGCAATCAAAGTGTCCTTTCAAGCCTCAAAATATTGAAAAAAAAAAAATTCTCACCCAGCCGACACACTTTCTCTTTCAGCCTCTTCCTTTCCCGAGCTGCCCCGACTTCAGCAGCTTGGGGGCTGCCTCTCCGCCGCCAGCAAAAGGGACTTCTCCTGGGTCATCCAGGGACTTTGCGGTGTCCCTGGGATCCACAGGGTATGCCCCTCACGATAACCGTCCCTACGGGACGGTTTAGGTCCGTTTGGACCGGCCAGGGGCGAAGATGTCGGCTGCAATCGTAGAGCTCGATTGCAAGCCGTGTCGTCTCGGCGCCAGCACCTCCCCTCTTCCAGATCTCTAAGGTCTTTTTGAGCCTCCCTCTCCCCGTCGACCCTGCCCCCACCGAAGCCCTCCGCCCCCCCCTGCCCCTCCTGCATGGAGCCCGCAGGAAAGACCCCCGGAGATGAGTGCAGCCCCCCAAGACTGCAAGGATCCCCCTCCCACTTTCTCCGCTTCTCTCTCTGCGCCGAACTATCTCCTGTATCGGCTGAAGTCAAGGGAGACTCTGCCCGGAGACCGATGACGGTACAAGAAGGGACGATTCTCATTGGTCCTCTCGCTCTTCCTGGACGCTCCCAGTTCCGAAGTGCGGGGAAAACTCCGCCTTCCTTAGTTCAGACCCTCCGAGTCCTCCTGGGGGGCCGGGAGCCTCCGCGTCCTTCTCGCCTCTCTTTGCGGGCGCTTGTGGGGCGGCATCCATGGCTTTGGCTGGGCTCCCCCTGGTGCTTCTGGTGGGGGCGCTGGGCCGGATCCCCGGAAGTGAAGGGGGGAAGGAGACCCCCGGTAAGGAGGGGGCTGGGCGGAGGAGGAGGGGCTGGGAAGGACCCCGGAGGGGGAAGGAAGCTGATGGGTCTCCATAGCCTCGACCTCTGCGTGGTCTCCTTCACTGTCCTTACCCGTATTGCCCCCCCAGGAGGAGGGAGAGGGGCCCCTCCCTTGTTCCCCGATTGTAGCCGAGGTGGGGGTCGTAGCCGGGCCCCTCTCTCCCCCTCCATTGTCTGGGTCGGAGTGGGCTGCCTGGAAAGAGGCAGGGAAGGAAAAGCGAAAGCGAAAGAGGAACACTGAGGCATTTTCAGAACGGAGGGAGGGGGGGCTCTGAGTTGCTCCTCCGAAAGTGGCTCCCCCTTTAGTGAAGGGAGGGCTGGAGACCCTCCCTTTGAGAGGCTCTTGGGGGGGCTGCAGGGGGTCTTTTGGGGGAGGGGGAAAGGAAACAGGTGGGGATCCCCGACAGTCACCCAAAGGGAGGAAAATGGGCTGAAGATTTGGGGAAGAAGAAAAGTTGGGGGGGGGGGAATCCAGGGAAGGGGGGGATTTGAAGGGCTGGGAACCTCAAGAATATGAGTCTAGATGTCCTCCTTGTGCCCCTCCCCGTATTCCACGCCCCCCCCAAAGGAAGAGAGGGCAGGAGGTGTGGATATCACCTTCCCTCCAGCCCTCCCCCCACTGTTCTGCCCCCTGGAGATCCAACATTCCCTGCAGAGAGAAGATCTGCTCGACCAGTTGAGCGTCTACCTGCCCTCCCCCCCTCGGAAGGGATGGAGGGGGGTCCCTTAAGGAGGCTCCTACCCTCCTCCTTTCTTTCCTCCCCCCTCCAGTACCCCCCTTCCTCCTCCAGGGGCGTCGCCCATCAGTCTCTCAAAGGAAGGTCCCCGCCACCTTCCTCTCTTCCTGTGTGGGACCCTCCTCCTCCTCCTCTACTACAGGCTGGGAGCGATGGTTCCTGGAGTCCCTCCTGACAGCCTTCCTCCTCCTCCTCACAGCCCATTTCCTGCTCCAGTGGAAGCATGGGTGCCTCTTCCTCAACGGGACGCAGCAGGTGCGGTACCTGAATCGGTACTTTTACGACCGGCAGGAGTTTGTCCGCTTTGACAGTGACCTCGGGAAACACGTGGCCATCACGGCATTGGGGGAGGTGATTGCGGAGACAATGAACAGCGACAAGCAGTGGATGCAGGTCCAGAAGGCCGAAGTGGATCGTTTCTGCCGACACAATTACGATGTCGGCAGCTACGAGGTGGACAAGAGGGAGGAGCGAATGATCGGCCGGAGAGGTGAGTCCTGGGGGAGGAGGTTCTCTTCTTCCCTGGGAGGGGGAGGCCGGGACCCCCCTTTCCTTTCCTGGCATCCACTGGGGATTCTCCTCCCGGGTGATGGTTCCGTCTCCTTCTTCCTTCTGAGCCCCGGAATCTCCCTCTTCTCCCCAGGATCCGAATTCTCCTCCTGTCCAGGATCTGGAATCCCTTTGATCCCCCCAGGAAATACACCCAAATCTATGATTTTCTTATTTGGGGGGGAGGGGAATCCAGCCAGGTCTCCCTCTCTCTCCCTCCCTACTTCTCAATACAGGGAGTCCTCCACTTACAGTTCACTTAGTGACCGTTGAAAGACAGAACTGGAAACAGTGACTTCGGACCATTTTTCACACTCCCAGGGTCTCCTGAGCCAAATCCAGGTGTTTGGCCACCGACTCATACTTGTGACAGTTGCAGCATCCCGGGATCCTCTTGATCCCCTTTTACGGGAAGCAGGGTTCACTTAACAACCATGTTACTCATTTAACAACTGCAGTGAGTCACTTAATGACTATAGCAATGAAGGTTGCAAGATGGGGCAAAATTCATGGAACAAACACCTCACTTAGCAACAGAGATTCTCGGCTCAATCGTGGTCGTAAGTCGAGGATTGCCCAGATATTCATCTCTTTCTTTCTCTCCCTGATTCCTTTTTATCCTCTTCAGGAACCGCCTGTTTCCCTCCCTCTTTCTATCCAGAAGCCCTTCCCTCTCACTCTATTCTTTCTTTCAAAAAGTTTTTTATTTTTTAATCATTTAAATACTTCTTTGTAAGGACAGTGTGGTTCTAGGTGTTTTACACTTTAAATCAATCCTGTCCATAATCACAAATACAA